GTCACTTGTCTTCTCCAGGCCTCAGTCTCTCACCTCTCCACCCCTACAGGCTTTGCAAAGGGCTGGTGCAATAGTGTCGATGACAGGAGATGGTGTCAATGATGCCGTGGCCCTGAAATCTGCTGATATTGGGATTGCAATGGGACAAGCAGGTACAGATGTCAGCAAAGAGGCTGCCAACATGATCCTCGTGGACGATGACTTCTCCACAGTAATGTAGGTTCAGATACTTGCTCAGGTACTTCCTTACTTCAGCTGCTTATCTTGCTTTCCATTGCAATGAGGTTTTTTATGTGACTAGGCTGAAAATGCCCTGTTTTCTCATTTTTATAATAGACTGTAGGGATCTGAAAGCATCTAGAAGATTTGGTAGTTCATTATGTGTTCTGCATCCAGGAAACTCAGAAGAAGGATGTGTAATTTGCACCGCTCTGCTGGTTCATAACAAACAGACGCAGTGGGCAGAGTAAAGATATAAGTAGGTCGCATGCCTGCTTGATCAACCAAGACCTGGCTTTAAGAATCAGTGTTTTCATGTCTACCACTCTCTTAGCATCAGTCACTTAACTACAGAACTGCACTGGTGTCCTGTCCTAAGCTGGGCTCTGAACTTAGGCAGGAAAAAAGTACTGGAAAAGATGAAAAATTGTCTTTTGGGTTTCACAGGAAGCACAATTTAAAATAGTGTGAACGCTAGTTATCTATTCATTTTCCCTCTCCCTTCCAGGAATGCAATAGAAGAGGGAAAAGGAATATTTTACAACATAAAGAACTTTGTGCGGTTCCAGCTCAGCACGTGAGTTCTCGGTTGCTCCGGTTCGGGTGGAAGCGCCTTTTGGGGGAGGCCGCCCAGATGACCCTCTGCTGTGATTTGCAGGAGCATCTCAGCTTTGAGCCTAATTACTCTGTCTACAGTGCTCAACCTACCCAATCCACTCAACGCTATGCAGATTTTATGGATTAACATCATCATGGATGGGCCTCCAGCCCAGAGGTATGGAAGACTCAAACAAGCAAAACAGCCTCGATGTAACCATCGATTTTTAAGATGACTCAGTCTGGCTTCGGAACAGAAGCTCTTATGATTTCTGCTCAAAGAACCAATCGTTTGGTGGTTAGATGGGACAAATTGCGCTTCTCTTTCCTTTCTCTCCAAAATCACAGAACGTTAGGACTTCATTCAACTGCTGCATAAAACTGTTCCATTTTGGAAGGGATGTTGGCCGTAATCTTAGAACTAGCTCTCCCTCTGCGCCGGGAGATGATGTACCGTGGTACATCATATGTACCATACCGACATGTACTAACATTTTAGCAATCTGTTATATACATATAGATCCTTTTATAGGTCTCCTGGATGTATTTGGGCCCTCTGTAGCCCTGCCGCAGTACTGGCACCTCTCATGCTTTGTCTTAAAGGATTCCATCCCCCAGCTCTGTTCTCTCTCATCAGCAGTGCCGTTTGGGGATAATCCCTGCTAATTAAGCATGGTCCTCTGCTTCTATTCGAGGCAGTTTGGGAGTTGAACCTGTTGACAAGGACACTATCAAACAGCCCCCTCGCTGCATCACGGACACTATACTCAGCAGATCGTTGATCCTGAAAATCTTCATGTCAGCCATCATCATCATCAGCGGAACCCTCTTTGTCTTCTGGAAAGAGGTGAGCACAATGTGCAGTCGGGTCTTGTTTTCGTCAAGGTGGGGGACAAAGCGAGGGGCAACCCCTGCCCCATGGGGCACTTGAGCAGTATGTGCAGGAGGGAAGGATGAGGGAACCGGGGTCAGCTCCTGCTCCCCTTCTGCCTTCCTGGGTCACCTCGGCCTTCTCCAGGTCGGAGCTTCCCCTCCAGCAGGGGAAATCTACTGATATCATCACAAGGCTTCGTGGCACTTTTCACTGCTAGACTGCAAGTACCCGGTACATAAGCACGATGATTTACTGTTAGTAGTGACTGTTAATACTCCATCAGTTAAAGAATATTCTGAATTACTTTTTATTTTCCTCTTTGATAAACCATACATCAATATTATACCTCTGAAAGAAGTAACACATGGCAGATTAATTATAGTGTTCTTTAATGATCATGCTGAGAATACTCAAGTTTGAACATGAATCCTGACCCAGGATTACTGCTGTTGCAGCTCTGTAATTGATGGCTATGGGAAAAGCCAGGCTGCTGGTGAAAAACTCTCTTATTGAGTCAGCTTATATATTTGACTATTCATGATATTTATGAAGTATTCCTCTGGCACAATGCTGTGTTTTGCACGTGCTGGTTCGTATGAGACATCAATACATTTTAGGATTCTCTGGTCAAATTCCACGCTAAGAATTTAAAGCCCTGTTGATAAGATTGTAAACTCAGCAGTTGGCAGGGGGAGATGAATGCCGCCCTAGCAGCTAGAACTAGACTTATTTGCTTTCCTAGACTTCAGTTGCCTGTAGTCCTTAAAGAGAATATTTATTTCTTGTGTTGCATTGGCATATCTTTTGCAAGCAGCCTCTTAAATAGCGCCTGAATTTTCACATCTGCTTCCAGAATCCAAAAAGTGGCATAACTCCCCGGACCACAACCATGACTTTCACGTGTTTTGTGTTTTTTGACCTCTTCAACGCCCTGACGTGCCGCTCTCAGGTGAGACGCAGAACTGCTCTGTCAGCAAGGGTTTTTTTTTGTCTCAATCTACAAACATAAATATCAGGCAGATAAATATTTTGCCTAGTAAGAGGGTTTTTCATGTCATTTGAAGCACCACAATTTTTATCAACCTTTTAAAATAAATCTGATGGTCATGCTTCAACTGCAGCTCTGCTTTCAACCGTCTCCAGCTCTGAGTTACCGTTCACGTAACTGCACTTTTCTAAAAAGCAGTAGATTTTTATCTGCAAAGAAACAGCTTGACATTCAAGCACCAGGAGGAGACTGGGAGACATGACCTTTCTTTTCTCCCTTTTTAGACAAAGCTGATATCCGAGATAGGCTTTTTTCGAAACCGCATGTTCCTGTACTCGGTGCTTGGGTCAGTTCTGGGACAGCTGGCTGTCATATACATCCCTCCGCTGCAAAAGATCTTCCAGACGGAGAATTTAGGCGTGTTAGGTAAGTGACAAAATAAGGAAGGCTTTTTTCTTTAAAAATCTTTACAAATCAGATAAACAGATGAGATTTGCTCAGTTGTTCCATGATAGCTCCCAAGAGAGCACTGGTGGAAGAAATGCATCGACAGCCCCCATACCTATATACATACGGCTATATGCAAATGCTGCTATCTTAAATGTGAATTACTGCACATAAGTGACTGGAAATGCAGACATGCCAAGATTTACCGTAAAGAAAGCTCCCTCAGACGATTACACAGTGCCTGTTTCGAAATAGGGGGGTGAACGTTTCCTTGTTGAAATACAATGTGTATTTTACGATCACAGCCAGTGCAGGCATTTCTGCCATACAGTACAGGTATCCTATCTGGGTGTGTTGTTAGGGGCAGGGCTCAGTGATCCCGGATGATTAATGTGGAAGTCACCACCCAGCAGGCTCTACCACCCGCTGTACGTGTGTACAGTGCCGATACAGCCGCTGCTCTAACGCAAGAGCTTGCCGAGGTCTAGCGCGGTTGTGCGGCGCCGTCGTTACACCCGCGCAGAGCCCTGCTGCAGGAAGGGCCCTACCTGGCACGTCTGGCTTAGCAGGGCACGGAGCTGCTCCCGTGTTCCATGCCGTGCTGTCTCTCCCTGCCAGACCTGCTCTTCCTCACGGGCCTGGCCTCCTCCGTCTTCCTCGTGTCCGAGCTCGTCAAACTCGGTGAAAAAAGTTGCACGAAGGGACGTCCCACCTGAGCACAAGGAGGGCTGCCCTGGGACGGCGGCTCCCTCCAAAGCACCGTTCCCTTGAGGCACCCGCTTCCTGGGAATTGGGCCGACTCATCCCTGCTCCAGAGGCTGCTCTTGGCAACGTCTGCAGGGATCTACGGAGCTGCTCCTGCTTCTATCAAGATCATGTATATTTTTGTAACACACTGATCTTCATGTTGAGAATGGAGGGAGAGCACCGGGTAAAACAAAGCAGTTTCATACTTGTACAGAAAAAAAATCTACTGTGCATAAACTAAAAAATTATTTATTTTACCACATTGATTTTTATGAATAAAAATCTATGTTTTAAACTGTCACAGGGAATTATTTGAGAGAGATTCTTGCTTTAAAACTTTTCCTTTTAAATAAGAAGAATGTTAAAAAATAATGCTTTTACTAGTTCTTTTTCTATAGACAATTCATAGTGTCTCTAGATTCCTGGAAAACTAGGTTTGATGCAGCAAAGTGGGGGACATGGCGAAAGAAGAGTGGGGAGCTTAGCCCTCAGGTGTCACCTATAGCTGAGACCTGTGTCATGAGTAACAGGGGCTGGTTGATGGGATGGGGCACGAGGGGGAGAAAGGGGCAGAGCCGGAGAGAGACGGGAGTGTGAGGGGCTCCCGCGTGCGCTGGAAGGAATGTTACCCACGGCTCAGGGAAGCGCCGGAGAGCTGCTCGGCCCGTAGCAAGGTCCGGCCTGGCAAACACCTTCTGGGCATCTTTGTCTCCATGAGTATGCAGCACAGAGAGGCTCCAAACGGGGCCTCGATGGACCTAATGATTAAGCAATCTCCCACAATAAAAGCCAACCTGAAGAATCCCACTTGCTGCCTCCATCAGGAATTTCCCAGTAAGTGCTACTTTCCAGATACGCTTCCTAAAAGCACCATAGTATCAGCTTTCTTCTTGTTGCAACCTACTGACGTCATCTTAAGACAGGAGTTTCATATCCAAACTTACCCCAAACCACATTTACAGAGGTGAAAACACATGGAAAAAAATCACCTCACTTCTGGAAAGCATCATGCACTTATTTGTCTTCTATAGAGGTTTCTCTTGCATATCATTTAGAAAAGTTAAAAAAAAAAAAGCACAAAATAATTACATAAGATCAGTTTTAATTAAGGATCGTCTTAACACTTAGTTTCTGAAGTCCGTAACACGTAGAAAAAATCTATCTTGTTTGTTCGAACAGACACCATATACAAGGATATTACCTTGACCCTTTCCCAAAATACTCTGTAGAGGAACATGTAATTTATATGGCCGAGCCATTAGCTCAGATAATAAAATGCACTGGTCTGTGGCTGTAGTGTTTTCTTTATGTCTCCTTCCACAAGCAAATAGATTTGTAAAATAAACAAACAAAAAAAACGGAGTCTAAATTAAGGCACAAGTGCAGCTTATTTAAAAGGATTTAATCTAGTGCCCTGTGAAAATGCACCAGAGGGAAGAAAAAAAACAAACAAACAAAAAACAACAACCAGTGCAAATAAGAAAGTGCAGTAGGACAGCATGGGGAATGAAAGCCCCAGGAGCAGAGATCACGATAACTAACTACCTGCATACGCTGCTTCAGGGCTTTCTTGCGCTGAGCTTCATGGAAATTCAGACCTTTTCCAGGACAACCAGACTCTAGTACGAAAAGGACATTATGATACAATCCTTAGGAGAAAGACTGACAGTCAGACAGACTAATATCATGAATAAATATAGTGTTTTTTCCCTCTATGTCCAACACAATTTGGTTAGGTGGAAATGACAATCCCTGGCAGAAATTAGAGGGCTTTTTTGACATATTAATCACGGAGAAATAGAAATGTCAAACTAGTAATTAGTGATAAATGCGAATGGGTTCAAGCAGAAAAAGTCCTGAGCATAAGAGACTTTACGCAACTTGACCTTGAATGGAGAACAGACAGTAACAGAACAGGAACAAAAACCCCAACCCACTAGTTAATTTTCAGACTGCAGCTATTCATAATGCAGTGATCAATAACCTGGTGATCATTAATTCTGTGGCAATAAAGTGTGCAGCAACATTCATTAAACAAGTTCGATTTGTTTTCAAGCTATCTGCAGATATTCCCAACTAACTACAGATGTTTCCTACCTATTCCCTTTTACAGACTAATTTTTTTACTCCAATCTCAAGTGAGGAACAATAATAATAACTATAACTAAAAGTTATCTTGCTTAGGAGTTTCTGCTGGAGCATGTTTGTTCAAGGATCACCGGGGTGGTGTGTTCTTAATATGACTGAATAAATTTGATAGCTCTGTTCTACTAAACTAAAAAGGCAATAGGTTGATTTCTGCAGGAAAACATTGACATTTATAGAAATGCAGTGTGTTATTATAGAAGTTGATGCTGTTTATTTTGCATTCTGTACCTCTCACAGCCTGTACGGTGTTACCTTATTAAAATCAGACTTAGAAACTCCAAAATTTACAACCAAGTAGAGCAACGCAAATCCAGAGCATCGTGTATATGGAATGCCTTGGACTGTGCCACATGTACAATGTAAGCCATGCTGACAGTTTGCAAGCCTCACTCACAAATTCCATCACGTGCACATAAATACCCTCAGCTGAGGTATGAGAAGCTCAGTCAATGTTTTGGCCAGTCTTTATATAAATATATATCCAACTCTAGGCCAGCAAGCAGTTTCATCAATAATTTATGCCTGTTTTTAATTATCTATGCTGAGAGGATCTATTGGGAATGCTAGTGAGTTCATCTGCAGCTAGAATTTACGGATGTCTAGCTATTTTGTTCTATCCTCCCAAACAAAACCCTTCAAGCAGGTCATTTTTTTCTATCTAAATATTTTGTACATCCTCGAGTTAAGCTTAATCCTAGATACCTAAGTAGATGTGAAAACATAGGAGGAAAAATATTCTGTCCAAGGAACATTAACATTCTGGAGTAAAAAAGAAAGTTCTTCAAGCTACTGTGACTCCTTTAGTTATCATCATCATCATCTTCAACAGGTTCTCGTAAACCTTCACTCTGCCGCGTTTTTCCAGTCATTTCCAATAATGCTTGAGCCTCAGGATCTACATCCAGGATGCTCTTACTTTTCAACTTAAGAATGAAACAAAATAAAATCTAGTCAGTTTAAGTGCAATTACAAATGATCAACGAGTCACAAGCAACAGTCACCCCCAAAAGCCTACAAGTATTGTGGGGTTTGCTAACTCGTCACTATGAAGTATCCGTACTTCCCAAGGAGGCATTTAAATTCACAGGGATCCATCCAGTGATGTTATCACCTCGGTAACAAAAGGCAGATAGTCTTCCTAAGGGGACAGCGGAATATTTCATGTTTATTCAGCCTGAACACACTGGTTAATCTGACCTCAGTTTCAAGTACAGATGTAAACTACTTCTTCTGAAGAGGTTCATGTTCTATAACTTTTGTAAACAATTAGCTCTGTTTCTGTTTACAGCTGGGTCTCCACTGACTCGAGAGAACACAGTAATTTAGCATGAAAAGAGAAAGAAAAATCACCTGTGCAGAGCAGGCAGTTTAATCAGACAATAAATTGCAGGACAGAGCAGACTGGAAAGAGGTCTCCTGCCCCTTCCCAAGAACAAGTGGGGCATGGGGATACTATTATAAATCTATTTTCACACTGTTTAGGCAGCAAAGCTCTTAGGTATCCTTACAGCAACAAAGCTTTGGAATTTCAGAATAAAACGCTGCTCTACTGACTATGTTCTCCCACGGATACTGCTGTTCTTTCATGCTGGCAAGCTCAATAACACCATTATTGCCACCTACCACTGCACTTTCTGGGATATCTCCCACTGCCCAAACTTCCATGGCATCCAGTGTAAAATGCTCCTTAGCTGACAGCTGAGGACTGTTGTAGGTGGTGCACCGAGGTTTTGCTTTACTGTGTCCTTTCCCATAGTCGCTGTCTATCCAGAGTCCAAAGTAATCATGTTGTCCACCCATTCCCTGGGAATCAATGAGAGCAGTGCATGAAATACTTGCTACACATATAGAACAGAGCAGGCAAGTTAGGAAACCTAGAGTAGAAACTGCTACGTTCAGTATTTATGCCACACACCTACAAATAGGTGAAGAAGGATATTCTGAGTGAACCTGGGCTTCTGTACTCAAGTATTCCCGAAGACAAACAAGAATCTCCTTTCATGCCTTGCAGAGTATCAGTATATGCAAGCACTTCAGCTGTATCTTGTTCCAAAAATTTAGCTGTCTGGGTTTTTTTATTGACTAACAATCACATTTTAAATGAGGGGGAAGTACTGAGATTAGCTGCCTCTCTTTTGCATAGAAAAAGTATCCACATTAGAGAGCAAGGTAGTTTCATGTACTTTACTTTTAGAGCAACTTTATTTTATATTGCTGCAAGTCCCAGAGCTGTGAGCATGTAATCCTGCAAAACGTGGCTGTGTAGACCCTGCCTCTGGAAAGCTCATGGGTGCATTTCAGTAAGGGGAACTCCTGCCACTGAAATCACACAACAGCAGTGAACTGGGTACAGCTCTCGTGCACTACCTTGGACTTGCTCTGACTTCCATAATTTATAAAGTATTTGGTGTGGCAGCGAGAACAGATGATGCCTAAATACTTGCAAAGAAATTTCTTCCCAGGATTTCCACAAATCTAACCTGCACAGAGCCCAATTGCTTAGCCCAGACACAAATATATTCTGTCTTAAGTGATCCAGTAGTTCAGTATGAATATCAACTATTAAAGTAAAAACTCTTAGTAGTGAAAGCAGTTCTGCACAGTTATCCATAGTTCACATTTTATGCTCACTGAAGACACTCTATGGCAAAAATAAATGCATAAATAAACTCTTGGTAAGAGAGTGACACGAACAGTAGAGAAAGGAGGAAAACTTTCTCTGAGAATAATAAATAAATCTGCTCAAAGCAGCAGAAGCAAAAACATAGGACATGTTCAGATATCACCATGAATCCAATCTCCAAATTGTCACTTCTTAGTACTTACAAGCCCATTTGGCATTGTTTGTTGGCCATGGTTCAAGTACATGTAGTGGTCATTGTATCCAGTGCACGTGTACACAGCAAGAGAGGGAAAAACAGAGAACAGAAAGCACTTGTTGTCACCTGCAAACAGAAAAAGAACCTGAGGTCAGACAATTGGTCTAGCAGTAACTGGACTATAAATAGGAGAGGAAAAAAAGCCTTGCAGAATCATAGGTGGATAAATCAAAGGCAGCACCTGCAGTCTCTGAAAGCCAGTCCTGATGCTAATCAAGATCTAGCTCTATTGTTTGCTCTCGGTTAGCTCTGCAGGGTCACAGAAATCAGTGGATTCTCTGGCTGTGATCAAGGGCAGAGGCAGCGGCGTGACTGGGACAGTCCCTGCTGTGCAGGGGTCACCTCTGGCAGGCTGCAGCGTGTCCCTGCAGCCGGCGAGACCGAAACAAAAGATACGAGTCTGGACTCCCTGTATCCTCACTCTGCAGATACACAGATGTTTGGGCTCACTGACTTAGAGAGCAATTTTCATTATGCCCGGTTTTATACTCACAGTGGCCTGTGGCATGATCGTCCTGTACCGTGTATCAGTATGGTACAGTACTGACCCTATCCATAAAAAAAAGTCCTATCAGTAAAAAAACACAATGTTGTCCAGTTAGCATAATGAAATACTATACTGAGTGAAGCAATAATCATCAAATATTGATCAAGTGTAGAAACTGATGGGATTTTATCTATCAAAAGTGAGGTTTCACAGCAAGGAAGATTGATATTCAGAGCCAATCATTTTTTTCTTCCTGACAACTAGCACTAAGAGCTCCTTCCAAAGAGGTGAAAAAAGAGAAGATTTCTCTCCTTTAGGTTTGCAAGAGAACAAAAAGCTCAGTTTGTTCAAAGGAACCTTTTGCTACAGAATTTTCGAGCAGTAAGAAAGGCAGAAGTGCCCGAAAGGCACTAAGAGGGCCCAGGAGGCCAAGCCTGGTGTTTGGCTCAATTTTCTGAGATAGAAGGTTGCCATCTGCTGGACATGTTAATTAAACACTAATTCACCTGCTCTGCACTGCATTTCCTTCATTTTCACCCAGGCAACCCCAGGGGTGATGGTTTTCACTTAATAATCATGGAACAAATTCTCTTTTAAGTCCTGTAGTTTTAAAATTTTTACCAAATAACAGAAAAACTTACTTCCTTATTTCTAAGTAATGTGCCTGACATGGTATTTTACATGCTTGCAAAACAACTGTTGTTTTTTCCATAAGAAAATACTCCTAAAGTACAGGGAAGGCGATTCACGTTATATACAAAATAACAGTATCCATTAAAGACAGAGGATTTCCGTAGATGCACAGAGGAAACAATGTTCATCAAGCCATGAGGTATCAGAAGAAGAGCAGAAAAGCGAGTCTTGCCTTGAAACTGGGGCTTCACCTCCCAGGACTGCGATGCAAATCCACCGAAGATAAAACCATCCAAGTCCTTTAGGATGATTATGCAGGAGCCTTTGTTCACAATATGGCCACACAACTGCGAGAAGCTTTCGCCATGAACTCGAGAAGAAAATAAAAGCTGCCACTTATGTTGCAACTCTGTAGGCAGATGGGAGTTGATGTATATGATGGATGGGATGTCAAAGAGACTGGTGAGTCCTCTTCCTTTGATGCCTTTGCAGCCTGGAACCAAGTTGACTATGTCCGTGGCTTGGTCAGGGATTGAATGCAAGACCTGGAAGCCTTGTCTGATAACAACACTGAGGAAAGTTGAGATCTGTGGAACTCGGTACACCCAGTCCTCAATGGTATTTTGATCAAAAGTGGCCTCCAGCAGCTGACGACCCACAGGTTTCTTCCCATCTAAATAAGAAGACACATGGGAACATTAATTAGCTGGTACAAGTGGTGTCCATTGGTTGGGCTGACAGGACTAAAACACATGAACTGCTAATTATATGAACTTTTCTTTATAAGCTGATGAAATCTATTATCACAGCGCTAAGTAATCCAAAGTTCATGACAAAGTGCTTTGCATGCCCATTTAAACTGCTATTTCAAAGGAATTTAGGTAAGGACCCTGGAAAGGTAAAAAAAAAAACAAAATTCCTAAATAACTCTCAAGCTACCAGGTTTTAAATAGTGATGTCACCATTTAAATGCAAGGCAGATATGACCCGAAGAGCATAATCCTTGTGAGATGAGCCGTCCTGCCAGCTCTGTGCCATTCAGGGACACTCAGGACACCAGCACTGCTTACCTGCAAGCTTCAATTCTGAGAGCAGCTGGGAGGCCAAAGCCTTGACTCCGCTTGCATAATCTCTAGTATTCTCCAGATTCCAGCCTTTCAGTTCCTTCCTGTAATTCAGTACATGGACTAGAGACATGATCAGATGCTCTGTGAACTTAAAAGGTTAAAATATTACTATGAGGATTTTTTTTTTTCAATAAAATGCTTAAGAGCTACAAAAGCCCACCATACACTTTGGGAATAAAGAAAAGCAGTGCAGATACTGTAATCCCAGTGAGAGAAACCTTTTCTTATGAAGAGGTGGAAGAACACAAGTGCTATCTTAGTGTCACAGATTTTGAAAACACGCCCCCTTTCAAGACACTTTTCAAATATTATTTGAAAAAGCATCTCTGTAAAATAAAGTGGTGGGTGTAGGGGCAGATCTTGCAGTGACAGGAGCCGGTAGCAGATTAAAATTTTGTGAGACCCCACATCCCCACCTTACAAACTACGTGTCATTCACAGCTCTGTGCCTGTAGGGCCACATCATTACCAGTGATACCAGAGCAGGAAAACTGGTGAGGTGAGCAGAGGACTGCATTTAAGTTGGGCAACTCTTACAGTGTTAAATAGCTCTAATATTTGGACACAAATATGGGGTCAGACTGTGTCCCTTCAGTTCAGGCTGTGCTCCCACTTGGGGTCACATTGCCTCATACTTGCTCTGTAAAGTGTTTTTAACTCAGTTCTAGGATGCACGGGACAAACATATCGTAACCTTTGCTGGCTCTGAACTCTGGCCATTCTCTGCACCTTTCAGAGGGCACCTGTGAATCCTCAGATGAGGAAGTCAGTGGGATCCCCAAATTCCAGATCCTAATTCTCAAAGCAGGCAAGGTCACCATGGAAAATGCCTGAAAAACGGCCATCCTATCTAGCCTGATTTGCTTACACTGTCCAAGATCAGCTGGGCAGAGACATGGAGAAGAAAGCCAGAAATCCCTATTCCAAATCTCACAGTCCAAGGACCATCTTCAAATGAGCAGCCCACAGTCCCTGCTGCCTGTAGCCCCTTTCACTAGACCCCATTTACCACTTAAACCGCTTCTTTACCTCTTGGATTTGTTTGCCTTTCACAGGCCCTTCCACCTTGGAGATCATTCTCATTATTATGGTAATCTTCTCATCTGCATTCCCTTTTAAGAGGTTTGACATAAAAATCACAAACTGCTCCTTGGCAATCTGCTCACTCGGTCCAGATGACTTCCCACTCAGGTCAATACTTTTCATCCCATTGTACAACTGGACAGTCATTTGCTCTGGCAATGCTTCTTGCATATAGGCCTAGCAGTAAGAAAAGAGCAAAGAGCATATTTTAAAAATGAAGAACAGTTTAGATATTCCAGTTAGTCTTTGCAAAAATATACTGCTTATGCACCAAATATTTACCAACAGAAACGCACTTTTGTTAAAGGATGGGTTTTCCAGAAGGAAAAAAAAGCATCAAATATTTATAGAATTTCCCTTTCAATGCAATTTAGTGATTTAAATTGACACAGTTAATCTAAAAATGCCACAGACTTTAAAAAGCAAGCTGCAAAGCATTAACAGGATACTAGCAGAGGATTTCTACATAATGACTCTTGCAAAGGTTTATGACTCTGGCAGTCCAAGATTTAATATTAAGTTACACTGATAATAACTCTGCTTTTGGTAGTGGAACTAACAGATTTTTTAAAAAACAAATGGAAAGTAAAGCTCTCAAGAGGCCCCTTTTAGCCTCACGCACACAAATACACATGTAGAGAAAAGATTCCCACTGCAGAGCAACATCCAAATCAAGCACAAACTGAATTTAAGTCACCTGATTTATGTAAGACAGTTGAAATCAAAGTTTATTCATCCAAGTTATATGACTGGCCCTTTGAATTGCAGTCTGACTTGTATACACCACCATACATCACAGCACTGTGGGCAAGATTGGACTCTTTATATAGGAAACTTTCAGAGTGTTCAACATAATTGCAGTGTTCAAAAATACCATGCACAAAACACATCCGTGCACTAGGATATGATTAGGCAGTGTCCTCACTGTGCAGAGGACTCAGTATAATGTTAAATACTTCACCTCACTCCAATACAGAGGGGCAGCCCACTGGGGACATCCGTGGAGCTCCACCTGCATAAAAGCTCTCTGTTCAATGCAGCTGCTATTACCGACCCACGCCAGTTCCATTCCCTCCTCCTGGAGCCACCAGGGCTGTCCCTGTCCCACGTTGATGGTTATTGCTGGGCACACGGGGTGTGATCCAACATGCCCACCTCTGGCTGCTCCGGTTGACGTCAATAGCAAAGCTCCCATTGATTCAGTAGGAGCAGAATTGGCAGGCACGGATATTAGAGTGCTCTGTACTGAGAGGGGCTGCCCCGGGGGGTACAGCTGCCCCCGGGGGGCTTTCTAAAAATGCTACACGAGCCTGAAGTGAGACAAGCAGCAGGGAAAATCATTATGTGCACTGCACTTCAGGGCTTTCTAACTCACACGGCAGTATTACCTGCCTACTCCCTGCGTTTTCCCACCCTCCGCCAACTTTGCTGCACTGTTCTGTTGTCTCAGAGCTATTCCAGGCAATAAGTTTAGTGTGGAGTGGGAAGCAGAGCTGCAAAAGGGGAGGATTTCATAAGCATCTAACAAACTCCCTCCTGTCTCAAATGTCCTCAAGGGAGTATGGACCCAGAGATTCCTGCTTTGCCAGCTACCCAAGCCACGCAACGTGTCCGCACCCAGGAGCCGGGCAGTTCCTGCAGGGAAGTGTGAGCCCAAGCAGGGCACAGCAGCTTGGCAGCGGTGCCCTGGCACTGCTGTCGAGTGCTTGCTGGATTAAATCCATCACACAGGCACCTAGCTCAGGCACCAACACAGATGCAGACCATGACGGTGATCCACTGCAACACTGGGCTAAGGAATTAGGCACCTATAAATAGTCTTTTAATAGGTTTTCATTTAAGTAGGCAAGGTAAAAAGGCAGGAGGTGAAAAGGGAAAGGTTCATCAAGTGTCACTTCAAGCTAGGGGCGAAGCTTGAATGAGAAATTATTCCAGGTCCCAACTGAGTAAAAGTTCACAGTTTTAAAGCTATTAGCACTGAAAGGCTGGACAGCAGCAACTGTTTCCAAACTGGTGGGAACTCATAAAAAGCCAGGCTGGAGCAAGGCTAATGTTGTCTGTAAGCAAATATAATACTCAGTGCCTTAAAATTTCCTGCCTCTTTCAAGCAGTTTTAATTTAGCTGATTCTATTAACTGTGCAGTGTATATAAAAATGCACTTTTATTATTTCATTCATTTGGTCACTTTGATTCTGGTTTAACTGAAGATTTCAAGCATTACAACGAATCGTTTTCTGCTTTCTTGATTAGAAAATGAATGCAAAGTTAATCAGAGAGCATAATATATGTTAATTAAATAAGCAGGGAGCTGACACAATCAAGTAAAATAAATTCTCTCCTCCTGATACAGGCGAAAAGACTAAAAACAGATGCAACCAAGAAAAATACAATCAAATACAAATGGAATTTGTGACACCTTTACAAGAAAACCTGTAAACAATCTCACACTACAGACTTTGAGGTGGGAAGACCACTCTATTTTCTAGTTTCTCTAAAAATATTTTCATTTTTGCAATTTAAGAGACACATTAATTCAAATTCAATAGTCATTACTCACGTTAAAACATCAAGAAAAATTAGATATCATTAGCTATTCAACTGCAATAAACAAACCCATAGAAGCATCTATTGGCACATCTCTAATTCCTTTTTGGAATTAGGCTCTTTACACTACATTACATACACAATAGATTTTCTTGCCTGTAGTGCTGTCAGAGACACAGTTTTTTTCACAGCTTTTCCATTTTTCGCTCCTGCTGTGCCTCTTGATCCCAACAAGGTATCAAACACTCCATCAATGTCAGTCTGCTCTTCAGGAAGGAATCTGGAAAGGTGATTGTGATAGCTGCTGCTTTCCGCATTTCCCATCTTTCCAAAAGGGTAATGGAAACCTAAACCAAAAGAAAAGGAAGAAACAAATGTAAAGAAAGGAACAATTGCAGCAAAAGGCACGTTAGACCTATTCAAGCCTTGTGAGAGAAGCAAATCACTAGCCTTCTAACAAGCTACTGAAACCTGCGATAAGCCTCCATGAATACAGAGGCTAAACGAGTATGAAGGAAAAATACGTGAACATTAACTGGTTTTAAAAAAGTGGCCATCTGTCATCTCTCTGCTAGGACCACCCTTTCTACCAATTTAAACCTCATCCAAGGCTTATAAAACGGAAAAACCAATATGATCTAATGATTAAATTAGCTTGTACAAAGCGATCATGACTCTGACAACCGGAATACATTGGGAACACAAAGGGAATAGCCTGATTATGGATTGTTTATGATAGATTATGCTGCATCTTTCTGATGCATTAATGGACTGAAGCGAAGCAGCATATGACACTAAAGCACCATCACTCATAAATATCTGAAAATCACATGAGAATATTTTTCTAGGGAGGCAATTCAGAAGTCATTCCAAAGGCTGCCAAGAAACACAAAGTAACCAAAATATTTGGGAACAGGCCTTAAAATCATGAACACACAGCTACACTGATAAATTGTGAAAGTTGGGACCCAAAAAATTAGTGTTTTCTTTTTCTTAAACCATTTTTTTTGGAAATAGGAACCAAAACACTGTTGTGCCCAAGCTGAAAAAAATAAAACGACACACACTGTTCCTCCACGTTAGCAATCCACGTACTTGTTCTGAAGATTTTATTGATTCCTATTAAGATTTCACAGTAAGGACAAGGGGATTAGGATGAGGAAAAAGTGCATGCAGACACAATAAATATCCCTGGAGAGAACGTGTTGCTTTCCCATCTCCTTGCATTGCAATCCTGTTTTAAAAGGAGCTGGATTTCACAGCAGTGTTGCCCTGCTTACTACTATAAACTGTATCATTAAGCTGAATAATACTTATTAAAAGAATAAACAATTCCAAATTATTAATAATTTGGAAAAACTATTGGAGAGGAGGCATCAGAAATGGACAATACTATGCTAGAAATCCAGGTTAGCATTTTTAACATGTGAGGAGATCTAGGGCAGGGGGAAAGGAGGATAAAAAATTATATCCTGTAAATTCCTCAAAGAATCAGCTGCCTCTTTCCGGCAGGAAAAGACAAGTTTAGACGAGTGAGGTTCCGCTGCAGCCCTGGCTCTTCTTGTTTATTACCACAGTCTGTTCCTGCTTCCTGGAAAGTAGGAAAGGGTGGGAAAAGAAGTAGATAAAAAAGGAGATAGAGGGGGTGCCCCGCGGCTGGCTCAGCACGACACGGTTTCCCATCCAGGGCCCTACGGCAACCCAAGGCCTAGGGCCGCTCCAGCCTCCTGCCCTTAACTAAGGCAGAATTTAACGAGCCGCCGTCACGGGCCATTTGGGGCGTTTTTCGCCGTTTCACCGAGCGCTGGGTTCGTCCCTTCCCTCCCCGCTCCGCTCCGCTTGGGGCCTCCCGGCCGAGGGCGGCGCAAGGCTCCGCCGTGGCCGCGGCGCCCCCGCTCGCCTCCCTCCTTACCGGCTCGCCACGAACTCCACCCCGCGGCCCGGCCCGGCCCGGCCCGGCCCACCGAGGCCGCGGTGGAGGCCCGGCCCGGCCCGGCCCGGGGAGGAGCCGCCAGCAGCGCGAAATGGCGCCGCCTCTCGGCCGCCGCGCGAAATGGCGGCGCCTCTCGGCCACGGCCATAGCGGCCGTGTTTGGGTTGCGTTGCTCGCTTCTCTGCGCTCGAAAACGGCGTTTTGCTTTGCTTTCCCCTCCCGATTTAAGCGGCATGTATGTGCCCCTGAGTGCCTATACATTGCACATACAGCGGGAGGAAGGCTGGCAGGGCAAGCGAGGAGCAACAGATGTGGCTAAAAAGAGACCCTGGGGCGGGATTTGAGGTGGGATTTTCTTTTCATAAGTGGAAACGCAAAAGTAGTTCATTGCAAGGGCTGAACCTCACTGACACTACTAGCAAAGTGGCCGGGAGATGAAGGCTGGGGGACAAGTGTGAGGTTTAGGGGACGGTACCTCAGTATCGGCAGCAGAGCTTCACACAGGGCTTGTCCAACTCCCGTTTGTTGGCTCCCCAAATCTCTTTTCAGCCTTCCTAGTACTCAGCCTTTATAACAACCATTTAAAATATTCCCCTGTTGTCAATTCAGAGTTAGAAACACTGTTTGGGATAGCTAGAATTACAAATTGGGCTAAAGCCCTGTGTGGATAAGCCCATATGAGTGTTGGTTTGCTGTCTGCAACACCCAAATCACGTGAAGTTTCAAGCTGGTTGGGGCACTGCAAATAAAACTTGATTAAATGGATGGGAAGTTGATGCAATGTCAGCTGTTAATTCAGCAGAATTAAGCCAGAAACTGCTCGAGACTCATTTGACCACGAGATGGCACAGCATGTTAAGAAAGGTACCCGCATAGCCTGTATCGGGGTGGAAAGGGTGCTTGGATAGATCCCTGCCTTCATAGACCACATGTGCCTGGAAGTGAAAACTCATAAGGAATTATTCTCATTTCTTTTACATCAACTCTGCGAACATAATTTAGATCAGAAGGATGAACCTCCACTGCTGGCAACACCCTCTCCCTAGGCTTTGTAGGGGCTTTCCTGGTACAAGTCTGTTGCGATGGTGGGGTTTCAGTCATTATTAATTACAAATTTCAGGCTGGTGCCCATGACGGGAAAAATGAAGCATATAAAATGAGAAAAAGCAGAATTTCTGGTTTCAGGTTAGATTTTTCTTTCTTGAACTTGAAGATCAATATTTCCGTGGCTGTTTTATTTCAAATGCACTTTGCTTTTGCTTCCTTCAGGTTGCATTTGAAATAGTTGCGGCTCTCTTTTCTTAAGATATGTTCCCAGTCTGGAAACACAGGACTAGAGATTCCAACCCTGACCTCACAGTAGGTCTGCCGGAAGGTGCCGATGTCATCACAAAGCTGCAGGGACTTCATTTCGAGCTCAATAGCTTAAAATCAGCCCCAAACTACAGAGGGGCACCCAGCTTCCCTTGACTCCAACCAGCCACTTCTGCAAAGACAACGCATGATGCATCATCCTCTTTCATTCTCATCTTCCTAGTCAGCAACAGAGGTGACTCCACAGACTCCAGGCTCATTTTCCCAGCCTGGCAGTTACCTACTGCTATTATTGCATCGTTTTGGAACATGCCTGCAGCACTTGCTTATAGTCTGCAGTATAGACATACTCTCAAAGCCACAAGATCCTGACACTAAATTGCATAGATCATTCACCGACTGTGGGATAATTTTCACAGCACAGTTTAACACCCTTTATAACCTTTTTTTCTACCAAGAGTGCATACTGTCAAGGCAGAAACCTGGTCCATAGGGGTAATAATTTGCAACACTCTTTAAATGACTAGTCACTTCCTCTAGTGTATTTTGAGATACTCTAGTTGAACTAATTAGGTCTCTCAAGTCACTTTGCTTCCACCAGTAAGAAAGAGAGAATGCACGAAGAAGCCTTTTAAGGACATTCAAGGATATGTTGGTACAAGAAAAAGAGGAAGAAAGTAGAAACAACAAAAGTTCAGGAAGCACTTGTGGCTTGTGTTGTGAACTGGTGATGTGTGTATTTGCAGAGTCAGAAAGAAAAAACCAAACCCGTTTATTAAAAAGTATTCTTTAGATTTCCACATATTGGTGTGGCTAGGGTTTTACTCATTTGCCAAAACTATAGAAAATCTAACTCGCCTTAATTCCAGATAATTCTAAAATCAGAAGTTCTGCTTTTCATTTTAAGGAAATTCTCTATTACAAGGTCACAACTTAAACTAGAATATAAATGATGTGTTTAGTATTCTGTGTATTTATATCAATTGGATCTATTTTACCTAATTGCCTTTGTTTTTTTCTTTAAAATTATTTCTTTCCCTATCTAGTCAGAAGTAGAGAAATTTTACTCCTTACCAGTCCTCTTCCACATGTAAAATAGTTACTCTGTAGTGGCAGTGATACAGGGAATAAATCTGATTTCCCTTTGATGCAGGGCACCTTCCCCTGTGCTTTTCACTTCTCAGTTGCTACTCAGGATCTTAGTTAAATTATATTGGAGAAGTTTGGCACTGGCAAAAAAGGTCAAACTTGATCTTTTGAAGACAGTGGAGTTAAATTATAAATGAACCTTGCTCATGTTTTGGGGTCTAGTTAACACAACAGTCATTGTATCTCTTTTTAATGCTGTTTGGCTATGTATTTACTGCTTCGGTTATAGATCTGAATTTCTACAAACCATCTATAGTCACCATAAATGAAATCCTGCAGAAATGTTGTCATTTGAAACTGACTGTAGGCTTGGCCTACTGATCATTTTGTAGTGTGAGCTCAGCGATGATTGTGCCTATAAAAGGTATAGTCCAAACCTGACTACTCTTCTCTAAATGTATTATTCAGCTCTGCATTTAATTGGCTTCTCTACTCTTTTGTCCTCTGACGTCCCCTGCCTTGCAGTTAATTACCTGATTTGTCTTCTGTTTTTTATGAGATTGCCTAATATGGCTAAAAAAAGGTTTCGGCATAATCAGAATTTAGGTAGTCAGAAAGGAAGCTGGGAGTTTTGCAAGAGCCTTTGCACTTCTCTTTACAAAGACCTCGGCCTGTTAGTCACCATCTGCCTTTAGTAAAGAGGAAAAATGTGCACTGTAGAAGTGATTCTGTTTGCAAGCAAAAATGACAAAATGTAGTACCTTTGAAAATGTACCTCAGGTGGGATAGACCCCTCGTATCAGAGCCTGTGTGCTTGGGAGGGAGATGCTGATACCTCTCCAGGAGGAATCATTAAGAGTTTTTCCTGGGGGAAGGAGAAGTTCTCTCACCAAGTTCTCTATGAATAAAAATCATATGAGATGATAGGCATTTTATTTTGCATTAACCTTGGCATAAATCTGGCTTGTATCACTGGCCAGCAAACATTTGCAGTGTTTCCAGCTGTTTGCTC